GCTGCTGCCGCTGTCGCTCAGCGGGTGACCTTGGGACAGGAGCCCGGGGTCCCCCTGCTCCCCCCGGGCTGCTCGGAACCGTGTCCCGCCCCCCCGGGGGCTGCGGAGCGGCGGCTCCGTGCGGGGAGGGACAGGCGAGGGGCGGCCACGGGTCCCCAGCCCGGCTTCCTCTCCTCCTCCTCCTCCTCCTCCTCCTCTTCTCTCCTCCCCTTCCCCTCTCCTCCTCTCCTCCCACTCTCTTCCCTCTCCTCTTCCCCTTCCCTCCCCTTTCGTCCTCTCCCTTCCTTTTCCTTTTCCTTCTTCTTCCCTCCCCTCCCTTTTTCTCCTCCTTCTCCTTCCCCATCCCTTTCCTCATCGCCTTCCCCTTCCCCTCCTCCTCCTCTCCTCTCCCCTTGCAGGACCCCCCCCCTCTATTTGCCACGGTGTGAAAAAAACCCAAATGCCGGCTCAAAGAGGGCACCGGGGTAACGGCACAGTCATGGTGCCTGGTCCCTGGCCCCCAGGGGGGCCTTTGCAGGACTGTGGGGGCGAAGGAGCCCCCGACAGCAGCAGGCGATGGGGTTTGGACCATTTACCGGAGCAGCTGGAGGCCGGGATGTGCCCCGGGACGGGGAACGGCTCTGGCTGCCCCGGGAGGCGGCAGGGATCCCCTCTGCTCCCACCCCAGGTTTATCACCTAAATTACCAGGCGGGTGGGGTTTTTTTTCCCCTCCTCCCCTTGTCTCCATCATGTCTGGGAGGGCGGTGGAGGGTGTTTGCTGCAGCAAAACCACCATGTCTGTCGTGGCCCAACGTCCTGGTGTCTGGAGAAACCAACTCTGGAGAGAGAGATACACACATACATGTAAATATAAATAATATAAATATATATGTGTATGTATATATACATCTATATAAACCAAGCCAAACTGGTTTGAGCTCTCCTGGGCAGGGGAGCTTCCTGTTGAAGGCAGGTTCAGACACCACCACAGCATCTGTTCCCGGCCCCGAGCAACTCCAGAAACACAATGAGCTCAGCATCCACCCCCTTCCCCCCCCCAATGCCTTCGGCAGCCTGGAGGGTGGGGGGTGGTGTTTGGAGGACCTTCCAGCGCCCCCCCAGATGCTGCTCTAACTGGGGATGTTGGTCTATAACTGGATACGCCCAAAGCTGATGCACAAAGAGGTTGCAAGAACCTGCTGCAGGAGCTGGATGCTCACAATCGCGCTGCACAAACCTGCAGCTCACACAAAACGTGCAAGAACCTGCCGTGCAGCCGGGACACGCACCAAACGGGGGGAACACACAGCACCCCAGTGTGTGCAGAATGAATAAGCACCAGCTGAGTCAGCCCCAGCAAACACACAAGCCCAGGAGGAGCAAACTGCTGGGGGGAAAATAAAATCCCTTGGGAAGTGGGAGGCTGGGGGGACACCCATCACCGGGGTGCTGCATTGTTGGGGTCAGCTCTCCCCAGTCCTTGTCCCACGAGGGGTCAACCAGTGTCCCTGTGCCGGGAGGAGAGGGGCTTTGCAGCCTGCAGCTCCTCCCAGGGGAGATGCTGTGCCAGGATCCCTGCCTTGGGGTGAAAACAGCCACTCTGAGGTGCTGCCAGGGCAGGGAGAGGGCTGTGCCAGCACGAAGAGCCCTCACAGACGGGGCTGCATCTGGAAAGAGGAAGCCTAGGTCTGCCCAGGTCCTGAATTCCCACCTTTGGGCAGGTGTAGTGAAACACACCGTGATTTTTGGAAAACAAAACCTCAGGGAGAGCAGGGCTGAGGGCAGGGACTGAGCCACCAGCCAGGCTGTGAGAAAACCAAGGCTTTGGGGCTGTCTCTTGGAGGATGCTCTGCTCCCTTCGCGGGTACCAGACGGCACACCAGGAATGAGGAGGGCAGGGGGGAGGAGAGGGGTGGCCAGACCAGGGACCGGACCCAGCCTGGTTGGAGGAAGATCTCCAGGAAGACATCAAGGCTCAAGAGGAATCACAGAACCACAGAATTGGCTGGGTTGGAAGGGACCTTTCAGCTCATCAAGTCCAAACCTCAGCCCAGCACTGCCCAAACCCACCCCTGACCCATGTCCCTCAGCACCACGTCTGCCCGGCTTTTAAATCCCTCCAGGGGTGGTGACTCCACCACTGCCCTGGGCAGCCTCTGCCAACACTCAATAACCTTTTCAGTGTAAAAAATTTTCCTAAATTCCATCCTAAACCTCTCCTGGGGCAACTTGAGGCCATTTCCTCTTGTCCTGTTGCCTGTTCCTTGGACAAGAGACTGACCCAGACGCCTGTGCCCAAGGAGGCCACCAACCTGTCCCACTAGAGGGAGCGAGAAGATCAGCTGATGGAGAAGGCAAAGGAGCAGCTGGGATGAGGGAGCCAGGCCCAGAGAAGGAGTTTCAGGCAGAAACTGGCCCTTCAGCCCCTGCCAGAGCCTGGGGATGCTCCTGACCAGGGTACATGTGCCTTGGGAGCTGGGGGTCCCACCTTGTGGTGCTGCTGGGTGGGCACCATGAGGGCTCTGCATCCCTCCTGGGGACAGCTGCGGGTCTGTGGCCTCATGGGGCTGGTCCCAGTGACCCCTCCATCCATCCCTCTCCCAAACAAGCTGTGAGAGAGCAGAGGCAGCTGCTGGGAAGGAGAACAAGGACACGGGGCTGTGGAGGTCACGGCCAGTGGGGCTGGCCCACACAGGCTGCTGGGACCAGCTGGGCTGGGCAAAGTATGGTCGGGATCTGTCTGTCCTTTTTCCTCTTTTTCTTTTTTAGTTTTTTTTCCTCTATGCTCTGCTTTGCCAGGAGGTTGCAAAACCCAGGGGGTGAGTCAAAACAAGCCGGAGCTTCCTTCCATCCTCTGCAGCCCCACAACAGCCAGGCGTGTGGGAGCCGACCAGCCCAGGGACGGCAGGAGCACCCCCAGGACGGGGACAACATCCTTCGGGGTGTGATCATGGAACCTGGGGCTGAGCCACGCTCTGTGAGAGGAGAAGATGAGCTGAAGCTTCTCCTCTACTTTCTGCCCCTCTGCTCTACTCTGGGGAGACCCCCCCAGTGTTGGGGGTCCAGCTCTGGGGCCACCAACAGCAGAAGGACATGGAGCTGTTGGAGCGGGGCCAGAGGAGGTCACTTGGAGTGACCACCAACCCCCCCATCCTCAGCCCTACACCCAGCAACGTGTGGGGTGGGGGCAGCTGGCCCAGCTCTGGAGATGGCACGATGGAGCGAATCAGGGAAGGTCTCCATCATCCTCAGCCCTACACCCAGCAACGTGTGGGGTGGGGGCAGCTGGCCCAGCTCTGGAGATGGCACGATGGAACCAGTCAGGGAAGGTCTCCATGCCCCATGATAACAGGGAGAAGTGAACCCCGGCCCCGGCCCCAGGCGGGGAGTGACCAGACAAGGGCTGGGGGGCAGAGGTTGGGTCCTCATGGCCGATGTCCCCCCCCTGCAGCCCCAGAACCATCCCAACAGCTGCTTTATCTCCCCTGAAGGCTGAGAGCAGGCAGAGGGGACAAAACCCGCTGCCCCTCAGCACTGCCCAGCCAAAACCAGGCCTGCATCAACCCAGACTGAGCGAGGTTCACCCAAAAGGAGTGTTTCCACCAAGGCAGACCCAGGCACTGAGCACACGCTGGCCCCGTGAGCCGCCTCGAGAAGGGGAAGGGGCCTCTCGCAGCTCTGCGGGTACTGAATGTGCCTCAGCATCCTCAGGAGCAGCAGGAGAGTTTGGGGGAAGGGGAAGGAGGGAGGGAGGCATGAGGAAAACCCTGAGTCAGCAAGAAACCTGCAGTGGGAAGCTCTGAGTCAGCTCCAACCATGGCTTTGCTGAAACCAGTCCCCCCCCCGCAGCCCCCGCACGGCTCCAGGGCTCTCCAAATTCCTGGGAACAAAGCAGAGGGGCTGTGCATCCCGCAGGGCGAGAGCTCCCGGCCTCCGGCTGCGTCCCCGGCGGGGGGACAGATGGGATCAGCAGAGGGGCTGTGCATCCCGCAGGGCGAGCGCTCCCGGCCTCGTCCCCGACGGGGGGACAGATGGGATCTGGGGGAGAAATTCTTCCCCCTGAGGGTGGTGAGAGCCTGGCCCAGGTTGCCCAGAGAAGCTGTGGCTGCCCCATCCCTGGAGGGGTTCAAGGCCAGGTTGGAGGGGGCTTGGAGCAACCTGGGCTGGTGGGAGGTGTCCCTGCCCAGGGCAGGGGGTGGGAATGGGGGAGCTTTGAGTTCCCTTCCCACCCAAACCATTCTGTGATTCTGGGATCAGTGTGCTCCCTTCCAACCCAAACCCCTCTGTGATTCTGGGATCAGTGTGTCTGTGTCCCAGGCAGGAGGGCAGGGTCCTGGGGACTCCTGGAGGTCAGGCTGAAGGTCTCTGCACAGCTCTGGCCATGCGACCAGCCCAAACTGGGCAGTTTGAGGCCAAGCCGTCCTGGAGGTCAGGCTGAAGGTCTCTGCACAGCTCTGGCCAAGCGACCAGCACAAACTGGGCAGTTTGAGGCTGAGCCCGGTGAGTTTAGGGGGAAGGACAAGGCTGAAAAAGCCAAAAAGCAAAGTCTCCATTTGAATGGATCGCCAGGACTGTGGTTTGCACACCACAGAATGGAAACACTACTCACCAAGCCTAAAACAACTCTTCCATATGCCTTACTGGGAGCATCAGCACGGCCTGAACCAGGGACTGTGAGTTCTCCAGACCCCCCCAGGACCTCCGGAGCTGGGACTGCATTGTCCTGCTCCTCCCGTTACTGGGGCTCCCTTTCCAGGGGGGTGTTTCGGATGTGGCTGAGAATGAAGAGCTTCTCTGGACATCTCTGAAAGCCACAGATCCCTCCCATCATGCAGACTGTTGGGGTTGTTGGCAGGGGGGGAACATTCTGCTGGTTCATGGTGGTCTCGGGCACATTGGAACCACCAATCCCAGAGAGAAACTGGGAGCCCAGTTGCTGCAGCACCAGTTCTGTGGCACCAGCTCTCCGGTGTTGTCAGCAGGATGCCCGGGGCGCTGAGTCACACTGTCTGGGTGCTGAGTCATGTCTGCTGGGCCACCCCACCGCCTCCCCATCCTGGTCCTGCTGGCACATCCTTGCCCCCAAGACAGGCTCCCCCACAGCGGGACTGACCCACACTCCTCACCTCGAGGTGCCCCCAGAGAGAGCACCACGAGCCCTGGGCTGAAGTTGTACAACAGAATTGTCTCAGATGGAAAAGACTTTTCTGCTCATCAAGTCCAACCATCAATCCACCACTGAGAAATCCACCAGTGACCATCAAGTCCAACCATCAATCCACCACTGACAAACCCACCACTGACCCCTCAGCACCACGTCTGCCCGGCTTTCAAACACCACCAGGGATGGGGACTCCACCACTGCCCTGGGCAGCCCCTGCCAAGGCTTCACAACCCTCTTGGGGAAGACCTTTTTCTCAATCTCCATCCTGAACCTCCCCTGGGGCAACTTGAGGCCTGTCCCATCGCCTGTTTCTTGGGAGAAGAGACCAATCCCACCTAGCTGCCCCCTCCTTTCAGGGAGTTGGAAAGAGCGAGGTCTCCCCTCAGCCCCCTTGTCCCCAGACATCGGGGGCAGGGGTCCAAGGCACCCCACGGGCAGTCTCCAGTTTCCCCCCAGTTCCTGTGAGAGCTACAAGGTGCGATGTCGCTGTGCCCCAGGGAGGGGGTGAAGCACCCCAGCTCTGCTGGGCCATGGACCAGGGCTGGCCAAGGGCACGGGGCTGGTCCTGGCCACCCCAGGAGAGGGTCCCCCCTGTGGCGAGGGCACAGAGGTCCCACTGGGGTCTCCACACGGCTGGGGCACACCTGGTGGGGAAGGTGACCCCATCCAGCCCC